TACAAAAGTTTGTAAGCCTCAGCAAAAACTTCAAATCGCTCTAACTTGGCTCATTTTCAACCGACTTTGATGGATTTTGGGTCAATTTTTTTGAAATTTTACTCTTTTTTCAATGGAAAATGTTTGAAATTCTGAAAATTCAATTTGAAAACCTTAAAAAACTTAAAATCCTGAACATTCTTTAACAATTTTAATTCCTAAAAATCTGCAAAAAAGGAAAAAAATTCCAATTTCTAAGAAATTTCAAAAATCGTGAAATCTCTCATTCTCGTATTTTCTTTCTTTTTTCACTATTTTCGCTCAATGAAGCGGAAAAATTCTTATTCTAGCAAGAAAAAAAATTTCAGCATTTTAAGCACAACACTTTTTTTGTGTGGGTGTATTACTCTTTTTTTTGTGTGTGTGTGTTTCTGGTTTCAATTACTACTTTTTTCAATTTTAATCACAAAATTCATCTTTTCTGTTTCTGCTTTTCTGATTTCCTGGTAACATTTTCTTCATTTTCTGAATTATTCTTCCCTGAAATTTTTTTAAAAAACAAAGTTTTCCTTTTCAGTTTCACATGAATTTTAAATTTCTTGAAAAATAATGTTCAAGTTTTCTCAGTTACCCCTTTTTTTCTGAAAAGGCTGAAAATTTTGGGATTTTTGGATTTTTTTTTTCAAATTTCATCCAAATTTCAGAAATCCTCAGCTTTCCAGACTTTTTCCTTTAAAAAGTGGAAAAAAAAGAAAAAAATAATAATTAAATCCAAAAAAAAAGAAAAAGTGACAGAATTTTATTAGAATAATAATCGAATAATTTCTTATTTAATTATGTAAATCTAATAATAAATTTATGCAGAAAAAATGAAAAGGAAGAAGGCGAGGGAGTGGAAAAGTTGTAGAGAAAGCTGAAAATTTTGCTGAAAATTAATTTTTTTGAGCTGGAAATTTTGGAAAAGTTCGAAAAAATATATTTTCAAATTTTTTATTTTTGAGACAAAGATATTTTTAAACATGTAGATTTTTCCTATTTATGTCACAGAGAGTAGTAACAAATAAAAAATAATTGGTTAGGAAACTGGCAATTAGAGAAATAGAGAGAGAGAGAGAGAAACAAAGAAAATGAGAGAATGGGACTTTTTTCCCTTTTTTTCGCATTTTTTTGAATTCAAAATGAAGAACCCTATAAAAATGTTAACATTTTTCAGAGCGAATTTTGAATATTGAAAATTCGAATTTTCAATTTTTTTTTGAAAATCCATTCATCTTCTTTTCTCTCGTTTCTCTCCATCTCTCACACTATTTTCTTTTTTTTTTGAATATTTTTATTTAAAATTCAAACAATTTGTTTCCAGTTACCTGAACCTTTTCTTTCTCTCTTTTTCCCAAATTTTGACAAAAAAAAGTATTTTTGGAGTCAAATTTCAAGTTTTTCAGTGGAAGTATAGGGTGGAAAATGGCCATAATTTTTAATCCTTTTTAAAGTTTTTTTTGAATTTTTGTAGTTTTGAAAAATTATTAAAATTATTAAAATTTTGGAAAATCTAACAATGCTTTTTTGAAATATCTTTTTTTGTGAATTAAAGGAGACGAGACAGCAAAATTTTCGGTGGACAGTTCGGGGGACGAAATCGCGCCGCGCTTATGTAGACCATCGGTCGTCAGGCGCCTTCGCGCCTCCGTAGCTCAGCCGGTAGCGGCGCTGTACCCCTGAGCTGCCTGTCATGGGTTCAACCCCTCATGGAGGTTCTCTATGCAAAATATCAGGAAAACTTTTTTTTGGTGCCTGGCCTCCTTTAATCAGAAATTTTCTCAAATTTTTAGGAAAAAAATGAGACAGGTGATTTCATGTTTTTTTCAGTTTTCTTATTTTTCTTAATCAATTTTTCTTATATTTCAGCCAATTTTTTTCAGACTGCTCTCTATCGGAATGTCTATCCCACCATAGATTTTATTAATTGAATTTTCGGAATCTCTTTTGAAAAGCAATTTTTCTGATCATGGATTTTTTTGAAAAAATTCTAGAATTTTCTGAAAACTTCGTTTTCTAGAATACTGTGAATTTCTTGCGATTTACAAATTCAAAAGCGTTTCACTCGAAAAATCCGAAATTTTAAGCCAAAAATCATGAAAATCGGTTGAGAATGAGCCGAGATACAGCGGCTTGAAGTTTTTACTGAGGCTTATAAACGAATGGTAAATGGAAATTGAAAAAAAAGAACGAAGATCAGAAGCAGAAGACGTGGGAATTCTGAAGATATGTGAAGATGTGAATCAATAAGAAAATGAACAAATTGAAATAGATCAAATTATTTTGAAATTTTTAAAATTTTCACAACAATTTTGGATTAAAAAAGAGGATTTTTAAAGAAATAAGTAGCTTTAGATTTTCAGAAGTTTCAGAAAAAAAATTGAATAAAAATTTTTTTAAAAATTTAAATTTATAAAATGTTTAATTTCCTAAAAAATCCTAAAAAATT